TAGTCTCATGGACTCAAAGGATCAGACAGATTGGCCATTAACCACAACAAAAAGGACAAATGTACCTTTTTAATGGGAAGGTGTGCCACTTACCACTTTAGTCAAGTAGCCAAATTAAGTAGCACCTTTTGATATGATTATAAAGGGAAGGACATAATACCACTTATATAGTATTCCTGTCAAAAATGCTTAATTTCAATCTAATCAAAGAGACACAATAAGAACCCAAATTGCATTAAAGAATATCCTGTCAAAAAAGATGAAAGGGGTGAGAGGAATAGCCTAGGATAGTGCTGTCCAGTTGGAAATCAAGGTAAACTGAAAATGTAGTTTAAAAAATTTCCATTGGTATGCTAAAAAAAGTGAAGAGAAACAAAATCAATTTCAATAATATATTTTATTTGATCTAGGAAAACATTATTTAAACATGTAACCAACATGTATTAGGTAGCTTATATTTTTGCAATAAATTTTGAAAATTCAATGTGTATTTTATAATTATAGCATGTGTTAATCCAGAGTAGTCATATTAAGCACTTGGTAGTTATATGTAGGTAGGCATTAGAAGGGAAGTTCTAGCTTAAAGTAGATTTAAGAGACACGTGTGACCCTTGATTATATTGTGAGTTGGTAAAAGAGAAATATCTAGAAAAGATATTTTGAACAAAATTAGGAAATTTTGAATAATGATATTAGATAACATTATTACATCAGTGTTAAATTTTGGGGGTGGATATTGTGAATATGTAGGAGATGTACTTTTCAGGAACTTCATAATTAAGCGTAAAATGGCATACTCTGCAACCTACTTTCAAGTGGTTCTGAAAAAAATAATGTATGCATGTGTTTTATACATGTGTATTTATATAAATATGTGCACACGTATTGGTAAGGATATAAAGTATTTTATTTGAACAAATAAATTAACAAGCTCTATTTATTAGATAGATATAGAACAGTATTCCTAACAATTTTAGATTATATATTATTTCAAGCAAATGTGGAACATTATGAAAATTGGTTTATAAAGTAGAAGTCAACAAATTTCAGAGAGGTGGAGCTCTACAAAACTTGATCTTTACCATGAAATTACATTAGAAAGTAACACAATGACAATTCAAAAATTCTGTGACTTGGAAATAAAATATTTTTGGAAAGTATAAGGGATGGATGTGGATGGTATCATAGTTGTAAGTGGGAATCCTGTTAAGGAAGCTATTGATGTTCTAGATGAGAGATGATATTAAGGCCATATTAAGGCTGTGTGAGTGGGAAGGGATTGGGGGGATTTGATGACTGAGGGAGAATGAAGAGTGGAGATGGCTTCTAGGCTTAAAAGGGACAGTAGTGTCATTAACAGTGTGAGGGATATGTTGATTGAGAGAGAGATAGTTATTCAAATTTGGAGCTCAAGAGTGGTCTGAGCAAGACACATAGATTTGTGATTCATGCACATTTAGGTAACAAGCATAACCATGGTAGTGGGCCATATCATTCAAGTGAAGTGTAAGAGTATATATAGTCAAGGAGATGGGCACAGTGGTACACATCTGTCATCCCAGCAGCTGGAGAGGCTGAGGCAGGAAGATCACTAGTTCAAAGCCAGCCTCAACAAGTTAGTGAGGCTGTTAGCAACTTGGCAAGACCCTGTCTCAAAATAAAAAGTAAAAAGAGCTGAGGATTTGGCTCAGTGGTTAAGCATCCCTGGGTGCAATTCTCATTACCAAAAAAAAAGAGTCTAGTCAAGGAAAGAACCACGAGGCACACACAACAGCTGGAGGAGGTCAGACTAAAATGAGCCCTAGAAAGAGGTGAAAAAGTCAAAAGTGCAGGAAATTGAATAGGCAATTGCTTTTTGGTAAATGAATAATTGATGGCAGAGTGACTGAGGCCACTGTGGCAAATACTCTTAAGGACTGGAGGCGTCTGGTTGACATTCCTAATGTATTATGTTCCTTTTATCTGATTTCATCACACAACCTCAAAATATTCATCAGTTAACCTGTCTTTTCTTTTCCTCTCTCTTTCTTGTACTAACTGTTCGAATCAGAAGAGATTAATAATTCATGTTCTAGAACTGAAATTCTAGAGTTTTATGAGGTTGATTTAAGGACTAGATTTTACAAAAAGGCAATCAGTTATCAACTCAGAGATGTTGGAATTTTCTCAGAGTCACACAGTGAGTCTATTCTCCCAATAGGGTGAGCTAATTGGAACCAGTGTCGGGTTCCCATGTCTTAATTGCCTTTCAAGATGTTTCCTTTAATTCTGTGTTGCTATTTAAGGGGGAAAACTGTATTTACTTTGTATTTTGGATGCAGTCCTAACACGATTCAGTTAACTGGTACTATAGGGCTTTTAGTTTAGCACTTAAATGGATTATGCCTAAAGATTTTAACAGTCTTCCAAAAAGGCATATTGTTTGTTTTATTTTTATAGTAACTTTTTTGCTTTATTAATTATTATAGTAACACAGCTCATTATAAACCTTTGAGAAGTACAAAAAGAGACACATAATGTTGAGAGGGAAAGTCCCTATAATATTTCACCCTCCTTCTCTTCAAAGATAGGCGCCGTTGTTAATTTTAGTTTAGTGTAAGTATTAGTCAAGATTGGGCTCTGCTGAGTGACACATAAACACTGATTCTCAGTGGCTTGTTTCACATTTAATGAAGATTTATTCTGCCCTTCTTCCCTCCATCACAGTGTGATAGACAGTTCCATGTTGTGGCTCTACTATTTTGTGGACTTGCTTCCCAGGACACAGGCAGGGGAAGCAGGCTGGAGGAACAGTTTAAGGCCTGAGCCTGGTGTGACTCACATCTGCTCACATCTGATTGGCCAGAATCTATTCTCATGTCTTTATCCTGATCATAAGGGGTCTCCACTGGGGTATGCATTCTTCATATTTCCACTGTGCATCTGTCAATGAATAAACCAGTACTCACAGTGAATATATGTACATTTTTATAAATGTGAGATAATCATTATGAGTTTTCATAGCACATTTAGGTAATAAATAAAAATGCCCACAGAGCATTCTTCTCAAAATAATATAACACTTAAACAACACCTCCTCACCTCCTCCCCTGATTTGCAGTCCATCCGTTCTCAGCTCACGATGTCAAATTTGCAGTGTGTTTGGATGTAAGCATCAGCAATCTTTGATGGACAGTCGGCTTCTTCCACATCTAACTTCACACATGCAGCAGTTTTCCTGTCTTGAAAGGCCAAACAACAAAATGAAAACCTCCTGTGGATTCTAAGACTTTCTTAAGGTCCATTGCTGTCTTTCTGCAGCATTATTTCCTTATTGCCACTATAAAAGTCAGTCTCTAGATATCTGGCTTGCATTTCTCGGGCTTCCTCCCCACCTATGTTTTTCTCCTTTACTTCCTGCCGTGCTTCTTCTCGCTGTCACTTATGCCATCCACTGAGAGTGGCAATTGTGTTTTATTAATGATTGTGGCTTACATCCATCTCTACTCTCTTGGAGTCAGTGTCGAAGTTTTCATTAGGTAGATATCCATAAGTATATAAACGGAGATGCCCACAGAGCATCGAATGATTAAGAATGCAGTTTTGGGGGACTGCCTGTTTGAGTTTGAATGTTCTTCTACCTACTCCGAGTTACATATCGTTGTGAAAGTTATTTGCTACTTCTCTGCTTTAGTTTCCTCATCAGTGAAATGGGGGTAATGATGATACTCAATTTATGGGGTGGTTGTGAGAAAAATATGAGAATCCATATTTAGCAATTAGCACACTTGGCATATGGTAAATATTTTTAAATGCTTCTTCTGCTTTGAAGACAAACTTAAAAAGTTTTCTCCTGAACTCTCTATTCCCACCACTTAGAGAGCCATTCCTCAACCTACCATGTGTATTTGTACATAAACTGTGGTGGATGAGCTTTTAGTCATCCTCTGAGGTCAGTGGGGCTGGAATTGTCTCTTTGCATGAGGAGGCACTTCAGTAGAGCACAGTGATGGACATCATAAGTCCTGGGTCTGACCTTCCACGATCTTGAAAAAGCTGCTCTTCCTCATGTGTTGAAGGTACCTTGCCAAAAATGACTGTTCTGAGGTCCATGGGATAATTTATAGACAATACTAACCAGTCCTCCAATTACATTATAAATAGTAAACATCGATGTTCTGCTTTCCATTTCTCCCCCAATTTTGTATTCCCTGTTATACATTTAAATCTAAATTACTTAATATGGCCCAGTGTGCTTTTGTTTGCTGACATAGAGACCCTCAATTAGTTCATCCATTTTTCTAAAGCACAGGGTTTCATCTTGTGTTTTCTCTGTATCTTGTATTATGCCTGAGCAAGGAGCTAAAAGGTGTTCATTAAATTTCTGACATAGTATTTTTGTTATAATACTCAAGATTATGTATTTGTCCCATTTTCTCTACAAGATAAAAAATAATGGATATTTAAAAATATTGATGTAAATTTCTCTTTAGATTCTAAGAACTAGATTTTTTGAAGCAAGATTTTGCCTTTTCTGGACTTTTTGGTCTTAACTCTATTAAATGATGAGATTTTAAAAAGTGTTTCTATTTGCATTAACTACGATTTGCTGAATTATTTTAAAATATCAGGCCTGCCTATAAAAATGAAGTTTTGTGCTGATAAGGACTAGGGCCATGCTGCCTGTGTGTGAAGGAAACGGCTTGTGTTCGCTGGTATGTGCTGTGCTGTCCCGGGCTTTTTTCTGGGAGCTGTTTCCTTTCTGATATATGCAGTTCATTTACTCTATACTTTTCAGTCCTAAATTTTAGTAATTGCAAAGCATCTGAGAAGCATGGGGTGAAAAAAAACCACACGAGTGTGTTCTTTGAGTATCTCTGTGTTGGTAATTGTTTTGAAGGATATTGTACCTCTTCTTATTAAAAATCTGTGATTTGCAATTTCATTTGAAAAGTGCATTTAGAACTTGAAAACTACGAGGCATTACACACTTAAAGCTTTTTCTCCCCCTTAAATTCCAGAACCAGTTAAACTGCATAAAATAATGATTGATATTGAACCCGTGAGTAAAAAAATGGAGAAAGAAAAGCAACAGCAACCCGGGAAGTCCAGGTAATAGGTAATTAAATAACCTATAGAAAATGTATATTTCTTGTACTTTGCCAATATTCTCTGGCCAATTGTCATGGTTTCTCAAATCTATCTATTAACACCCCATGCATGAGGCTAATTTATCTTTCTACTTGAGTCCCTCAAAGCATATCAATTATCAAAATTTTAGTTTTCAGTTCAATTAACTTTTGAACTGGAGGATGTCTGAGTAGTTAAGCAAACCATCTGGGTTTTACAGTGCATAAGCTCAAATTCAATTTGTGTCTTTCTTGAGAAAAATGCCATATTTTATGATAATATTACATAAGTTTGGAATTTTAATAACTCTTCTGCAGCAATTATGGAGCAGAGTAAGTTATAATTTTCCTTTTAAAATCTAATAATTAAAGGTTAGTCTTTCCCTAACAGAAGGTGAGGCTGGTTCTACAGAACACAGTTTGAACATAGGAATTTTGAGCCTTGCTTCTGCTTTCCAAGTGTTTGGAGATGGGTCAGTTACTTCTCTGAATTGTTCTACAGATTTGCATCACTGTCTTCTTCAAGAAAACTTGAAAATGTGTACACAACTGTTGGCCCTCAGGCTGCAGATAGAACCACTCACAGGCCTTCAGCACATATTTTGGGAGACATTTATACTTTCAGACTATAAACACTGCTCTGTTAAAATGTGTTGCTAACACTATTTTACATTGTTCCATTAATAAAACATGGTCAGAAAGGGGGGTAATTTTTGGTACAAACTATAAATAGCAGAAATTGGAGAAGATGCTACTATGGCTGTAAAGAATAGCCTATGTCTTCCAATATTGATGCTGCAAATTGTGCTTAATACAAGGAGATCCATGTGCAGGGTGACCACTTTCTTGGCTTAAGTGTAACATGATATGCAAATGTGGAGCAGTGGATGTGTCTGTAGCTTCAGTACTGCAGCTTTAGTTTTATCTATGATAAGGAAGGACACTAAGTACAGAGGGAAAGAAATTGTACTGGGAATTTAACAGTTTTTAAAAAATTCTCCTTTCTGGTTTTTCCAAGTTTAACCCAACGTCTAGAAAAGGTTGGTCTAGTAGAGTGGCTAGCTATGAAAAGACTAGTTAATAAAGCAATTGAACGAAAGAGTTTAGAATTTCAAGTTAACAAAACTCATCTGAAAATCAATTTCAATGTATTTAGGTGAGGCTCGTAATCCAGGGAAGAAGAATAATGATTTAGGGACAAGTGGAGTACTCATGAATAATAAATCTGATCAGGTATAATATCTTTCAGTATAATGTCTTTCTCAAGAGGGTTGAATATTTCTCAGAGAATTGTTTCTTCTGCAACTGGTGGAAGATTAAGATCTCACGACACCCTAACTTACCATTTTTAATGAAAACATGTCCTGTTTAATGAGGAATATCAACCCCCTTTGAAATTAAGAGCAAGTGCATGCACTTCAATAACAGCCCTGGGCACATAAAGCCGGAACTTCAATCCACCTGGGCCGCCTTGTCTTTATTTATAGCTAGTTTATGGTGGTAACTTGTTTTCTACCTTAGCAGTTAGCTTCATTTCATTAATGTTAGAAGTGTGATGGAAATGATGTGGAGGAAAGGACAAATAAGTGTTTTGGGACATGGTGACTTGGGTTTTTTGAAAATCTATGCTTAAATAGATAAAAAGTCATTGAACCAAATATATTTATTGAAATCTATTTCTCCATGTAATGTATATCAGAAAGCAGCACTGAGAATACAAGCAACAGAGGGAAGATAGAATCAGTCAGGAAACCAGGTAGGGGATTGTTAACAATTACATTCTAGGAATAATTATCAAGAATTGCCCAGCTCTTTGAGAGATCTGGCAAGGTTTCTGTTCAAGTCACATAGACCCCTGTGAGATTACTTGTATATAAACTATTTACAGTTCCCCTGAAGATGCCTTAGAAAGTACTAATTGTTAAGGTGACACATAGCATTTTTAGGTAAACCATAAAACACTCTAGCCACATGAAATAAATTTTCTTAAATAAAGTGTGAAAATATGAGTCTTATAAAAATATGATTTCTTACTTTTCCCTCAAATTTCTCTGTTTCTTAACTGGCAGAGAAAAAAAACAAATGGGGGTATTTCTGCATTTTCAAATTTAAGTTTAAGTAGATTGAAGTTCTTCAATCTACTTTTGAATTCTAAATTCAAAGATTCATTGTCATATATTAAAATACTCTTGATGACAATAATGTTAAAGGTAGGTGCATTCTAAATGTTAATTTTCTAGCAACAAAAATTTACTTATTCAATTATTTACCAGTGCTGATTTTTTAGTTGATGATATAATATTTTAGTTGATGATATAGTATTTTTATCATGATATAGTACTAAGTGCAAACAAATTAGAAAGTTCATATGCATTTATGTACCTATAAACGTAGAGATGGTATAGAATATATTATTTAGTTGATGATATATGGAGCCTTTAAAAGTATGACAACTGCATTTCTGTATAGGCACTCTGTAATTCAGGTGAGTGAACCTAGATTTCTTCCCCTAGTTCTATGATCAGTGAGAATTTCCAAAGGGAACATGACAGTCTATGTGGAGGTTAATTATGATCAATTTAAAAACAGAATGAGAATATTATACAATAGCAGTAGGATCCCTGATGGCATTTCTTATTTGTGTTGAAACACTTTGTCATTTCACCTTAATGTTTGTCAAATATTTTGCTTAAGTAAATGAGTTGTCTATTTCTAGTAGAATATTTCATTAGTAGGGAATCACAGAGAAAATGCTGTTTGTTCTAGTTTAGAGATTAATACTAAGCCATGGACCACATATTGGAAAGTAAAGCAAGCTGTGTCTGATTAATATATTTTACCCCATTCTTGTTAGCATATAAGTCAATTCTAGAATTTCATATGAAATTTTGCAAAACTGCCTATATATTCAAGTGTTCCATATTTTGTTCACATATTTTGGCCAAATCTGTGGGCATGCCACAAGAGTGACAGATAAACTAATGGATTCTATGAATTAGTCATTTATTTGCCATTTGCTGAGTGACTACTCTATCTCAAGTATGTCACTCTGAACAGGACAGTCACAGGCTCTGCCCTTATATACCCTAGTATTTCGGTCAGCAAAATGTTTTAAAGTAGCAAAAACTTCTATAAAATTTACAGAATGTTTGAACCTCAATTCCATTTTTATTCATTTTTAGTAAGAAAAGAAAAGAATTAAACAGGTGCACAAATATGAAAGCTCAAAGATTTTCATCCTTATTTACAAATAACAAAAGTGTACAAGCAACTTATGTAATCAGCCAAAGAAAACTGGTAAATAAGCTGTCAGTATACAATGGAATTCCATACAATGGGATACCAAAATATAATGGGCCAAAATGTGCATCTTTATATTTTTATTCATGATATAATACCAAGTGCAAACAAATTAGAAAGTTCATGAACATAGAGAGGGTTTGGAATATATTCAGCCTCTCAAATTCAAATAAAGGAGTGTCATATATTAAAATACTCTTGACACATGGAGATGGTATAAAATAGTAATATAATTTCTGAGGCCCCAATGTCTGACTTCAGATCCTAGCTTTACCAATTTCTGGATGGGCAATCTGAACTATATATTATTTGACACCTAAATGTTTCAATTTATTCATGTATGAAATGGGTATTAAAATAGTAACTACACATTGTTGGTAGGTTTAATTCAGGGAAGATGTGTAAAATACTTAGAATAGTATCTGACCCAAAGGAAGCATTAAAAGGGTTTGTAAAATAAAATGTCATGCTGATGGGATTAGGAGTGATTTTTATTTTCTTTCATTTTGCTATTTACATTTGATAAAATTCTATGTGGTACTGAACTCTTGATTCAGATGACTTGGTTGAAACTCCCCAAGTCATATTAGGAAAGTGTGTTAAAATCTCTTGTAAAACAACAAAGAAATAGACACGATGCTTATTCATTTTCCTGATTTTTGTTAGGGCCAGTTCAGAGAGCAGATATTCCTATTTGTTATCCTTGCTCAGAAAAGTTTGTTATTATTTTATCTTTCTTCAATAATAAATATTGACTCTGCATGTCACTGAGGGTGCTACAGGTTTGTTTTGTGGGCTGGAGACGCTGAGACTAGCACTTAATCCTGTAACATAGCCTTGAAGGTTGTCATACAGATCTAACTTTATGTTTTGGAAACAGAATGGTGGATTCTTTAGAAGCCTTTCCCATTCTTCCTGGTTTGTCAATACCACCCAAGATCTCCTCTTCCACAGGACTTGAGAAAGATCCTGGTAAGTTTCACAGCATAAATGTTAGAATAAGCACAATGATTTTTTTATAATTTTGTACTCATTTAAAATTTAAAAAAATTGTATCGAAGAGAGTTATTTCCTTCATGTTTCATTTCAAGTATTGTGTCAAAAGATAAAGATATTTGGAAACAATGGTGAATAACTAATTTTCACTCCTTTATTTGAATTTGAGAGGCTGAATTTTAAAAAATATGCATGAATATTGAAGGTTATAGGAAATTATAAAGGTAAATTCTTAATAATTTAAGAAGCTTCTCTATAGTTGATGTATTCTTGTTTTAAAAAATACATAATATTCTTCAAAAGAAAATATACATGATTCTTTAAATTCCCTTGAGCGTGATTGAGAAACTCTCTGGAACTTGGGGAACTACTGGAAAACCTAGGGGGCTATTGATTCAAAGAAACTATTTTGTAGTTTTTCCCTTTTTTTAAAACTTGTTACTCATGTTCTTGAGCCTCACGCTGTCATTAAGGAAAAAAAATCTTCTTGTAGAGCAGGACTTTGATTTTGGAAGAAATTTTTAAATTTTCAGAATTAACTCCTCCTTGGGCTCTCAAGGCACTGTTGAATAAAATGTTCTTTATCTCAGTTCAGTTTTACCATCCTTTGGTTTGTGATGGAAGGAATTCAAGTATCAAGTTGAGGCTTATTTCCAAATTTATTTTTTTTTGAAACCCATTTTCATTATCCAACCAGTATTCACCAAAACTACAAACATTAATGCATATAATGTCAAAATCCTGACTATCTGCGTTGGGTCTGCTTTAAACATTTTATTGTTATAGCTTAAACATTTTAAAGACTTGATTAGATCACTTGAGATTCCAGATTAATAATTTGTGGCTCTCAATTGAGTCTAGAATTGAATATCCACATGTAGAAGTAAATGCTGGCCCATATTCACAGACCTGTGGGTTCTAACAGGAGTGACAGTGTTAATAGGTAATAATTTTAAAATCTGTTATCTCTGAAAGCTGAGGTCTACAGCCCATAAGTACCATCAGTTGAAGTCCAACTAATTCTGTGATATTTAGAGTTTATTCAGGATCCTGTGAAGGTTGATGAAAACCTTTACCTTCATCTTCATTCTCCTCAAATATACCACACATGTCTTTCTTGCAGAAGAGCTTCTGAGTTGGTCAAAAGGGTTGGCCATTCTTATGGCTTTAGTTTGAATACTGAAATTTATTCGAGTATTCTTTTTACATATACATACACTTATATTGGGGGTTGGCCATTGTTTATTTAGTGCTAAACAAAAACCAGAAGACCTTTCTAAACTGTTTGTTGAGAGAATTCAGTTAGTAGCTCCAAATCATTGTGAAATTGTGAGCGGAAGGAGCAGAATTTCAGTCCATTTGTATAGTAACTTTTGAGGTTGCTAAGGATTCTACCCCTTCAAAAATGTTCTGCTGAAATATCTGATATATTTACCACAGAAACCATAGCTTCATGAAAGTCAAAAAACTCCCCATACTTATCATAATGTTTGGCACCCAGTAGGCATTTAAATGAATGAATGAATGAATGAATGAAAAGAAATTAAAAGAAAACACCCAAATGGAGCACACTTTGAAACATATCTGAACACTATTTTAACAGTTTTTTAATACTATGTGTAGACTGCAAATATCACCAAATCAAATAAAATGCCATGCAGTTTATAAGCTTTAAAATCAAATTGTTGAACAGATTATTTTGTTTTATGATATTATAACTCACTCAATACTCATGTAAGTTCATGCGGAGGGAGAAGGTTGAATATGCTGAAAGTGTAAAAAAATGCAAAAGAAAAATCATCATTTCCCAGCGCTATAGGGTTGCTGTTCCTTTTTCATTTACAATGAAATGTATCTTTAATAAAATATAAGAATTGATATTTAAACATGCTTTGTTGTATGTGAATTTTTTTTTGTTTTATTTTGTTTTTAGCCAAAGCATTCTTTTGTAATTGCAATAACAACAAAAAACTTTAAAAAATAAAATAAAAAGAACTGAAATACCTGAAGGCTATTATTTTGTAAAATTAAAATATGAAAAATGTTAATTTTACTTTAAAGTAACCTTAGGTACATTACTTACTTTGTATCTTGGATGAAAAATAATGAATACTTTTTATAGATGCTTTTTAATTTTTTAGTTCATCTTGAGGATATAGCCTAACAAATCTGTACAACAAAATATTTTTCTCCACATTTTTATAACAATTACTAAGTTACAGCTTTAATGAACATGTCACTGAAGTCTATTAAATAGTAACAGGATGTAGATCTGTGTTTCTCTCTGAGGTGCTTGGTAATTTTCTGGAGTCTTAGATTAAAATTGCCCAATTCTTTTTTAGAATAAATGTTTTTCTTCAAGGAAAAAGGAAAGGAAAATAGAACGTAGGAATTAAGACAAATTCTGCTTTCTATCCATTTCATGAACTTACGAATCACAGTGGTAGAGTAGGTAGCGCTTAGAGCAAGGTTGTAGTCACTGAGGGGAGAGAATCATGATTCCACCAGGTTCTAATTGGAAATCTCATTCATGACTCTGTGACTCAGTTTCTTCATTGGATGGAGGGGGGATAATAAAAATACCAAACATATAGTGTTTAGCTTGTCAAGTTCATGACAGACATCCTGGTGCTTCATACCATTGAGCTTTCTTTATTCGCCATCATTTCCCTAGGTATGAATGAATTGTAAAGCACAGTACACTCAAAAACCTGGTGTTCCATGATCTAGCTTTGACTCTATCTTTGAAGATAGATTATCAGAATCAGAAGCCCCATCTCGTGACTTCACTGCCTGACTTACTCAGGAAGTACGTAAATAGTAACCGTAGCCCCACCTGGAGTCAGTCGCCTGTGTCAGTGTTCGTTTTGTTGCCATCTGCTTAAGACCTTGAACTTGCCTCTTTGCCCTCCTATTTCCATACATTTGGTGGGTCACTTTTAAACTAATTCCTTCTGCGTTTCTTTCCCTGGTAATTTCACAACTTCTTCTAAGAAAACAAGACTCATGGTAAAAATGGTTGTGTAGAAAAACACTTTAACAGACTTTTAAAAACTGAGTCCATGGAGAGAGAGAGGTGAGTCAGAGGCCCACCCTATCTACATCCCTTCCATCACTGGCCTATGAGGAACCCTTCGCCTCTCTGGGCTTTAGTTTTACCACTTGTAACCCTCAAGGGAAGAATGAAGCTGCCTTTAAGGAAAGGGATAGGTCAGAAAATTTCCTCTTTCTCTGGGGCTGCTTCTTGGCCCTTAGAACATCTCTACAGGGTCATTTGCAGGAGAGAAGAGACGCTGCTTCACTTTTCCCTGCTTGCCAAGTTCACATCCTTGAGGCCCTCAAGGTGAATCTCATTAAGTGCTTCCTGTAACTCCGTCTACACCACTTTCTACAAGACACTGTGGATTTGATTCACCTGTGATCGCTGAATCCCCACCCTATATAATTCTGTATGTTTTCTTCTCAGACCTCTCCCCCACCTTTCCCATTCCTGGAAGCTGTCTCCTGTGCTCCCTGAGCTCATAGCCAGTAGCCAGCCAAATTCCCCTGTCCTTGACCTGTTTGAAGCACTCCCTGCACTTTCTTTTTTTTCTTTTTAAATTTTTTATTGTTGGTTGTTCAAAACATTACAAATTTCTTGACATATCATATTCCACACTTTGATTCAAGTGGGTTATGAACTCCCACCTTCACCCCATACACAGATTGCAGAATCACATCAGTTACACATCCATTGATTTACCTATTGCCATACTAGTGTCTGTTGTGCTCCGCTGCCTTTCCCATCCTCCCCCCTCCCCCCTCCCCACCTCTCCCCTCCCCTCCCCTCCTCTCTCTCTACCCCCTCCACTGTATAACCCTGAGGGTCTCCTTCCATTTCCATGCAATTTCCCTTCTCTCTCCCTTTCCCTCCCACCTCTCATCCCTGTTAAATGTTAATCTTCTTCTCCTGCTCTT